TACACAACCAAGATAAAACAAACGAAATTAGTACTTTTTTGTGATTCTTTTTGACAACTTCTCCAGTACCTTTCTATTCCACAATCTTAAAATAACTAATAACAAAACTAATAACGCTCTTTTTTTTCTTTCAGCTGAAAGCGACATCTGCTCCTTTGCCCTTATCAAGAACCACTACGCCGCCAAGAATGACCTCACCACCAACCTTTTTGTACCGTCAACCCGTCCAACGGCACTTCAAGCGCTTTATGAGGCCGCCTCCAAGACGCCCGTCCACGTTATGCGTCAATTGGATAGGTGGCGTCGCGACGGTCATCGCACTTCCCGGTTCTTCCTCTGTACGCCGGTTCTTGGAGCCAAGCGCCGGAAGATTAGGAATAAGGTGGACATCGATATCGAAACAAGCATGGTGAGTTGAAAGCTACAGTTTCTTTTCATTTTCATACCCTTAAATCTAACTTGCATGATGGCTTAATAGAAAAGAAACAAGGTATTTAACGTTAATCTCACTTCAGCACTCAATTACTCATATCCCATATGTAGGAAGTATCCTCGTACTTCCTACATATGGGATATGTATGAAGTACTAATTTGACTGAATCAATAAAATACATATTGTTATTTTATTGGACATCATTCCATAAAACCTTGAACAAATTCTGATCTCTGCATACTTCCCACCGTAAATTTGGATTTTCTATCAATTCTTTAAGCAACGTTTTTGTAGGGGTGATTCTTCGTTGTCGGTTGAACCTCGAAAAACCATTCTATTTTTATTCTACTGTCTAATCAAGTTACCTTTCTTTTTTGTAATTAATAGTTCATAGATATATGAATATTGATATCTTCCAAGATGATATCAAAATCTATAATGCATTTTCAACTAGAGAACAGTACCTATATTGACATTTTTTTCAAGCTCCCTGGAATATTTGCGTCATTATTCAATCATTTTTCACCATACTCCTCAGTCCTCTCGCCAACCGACTACCATATTTTCAAGCACTTCGATAACTTTTCCTTCTTCGCCCGTCAGGACCAGGCAAAACGGCCTTCATCGACTTCACCGAATCCCGAACACCCACTTTCTATGCTGACGGAAATTATCGACTTGTGTTATGTTGGCAAAATTGTAGTGATTCAAATTGCGCTTATTTTGAATAAATTGAATAAGTATTTACTGAGATATTACAGTTTAAAGAAGACTTGTGAAACCGGATGAAACCTGTGAAACAACCTAATACCTCAATTTTTCAGAGTGATATAAAAGTCGCGGAATAACATGTTGATAGATTTTTTTACCTTAAGATTCCGTCGTTGCATTCCATCTTTGAAAAGAACTGTTGTATTTGGAGCCCTTTCTAATCTGATTTGACTGAATCAATATAATACATCTGATTATTCTATTGAATACTTTCCTATTAAACCTTGAACAACTTCTCGATCTCTATATACTTCCTACCATGAAATTTCATAAGACATTTTCCTAAAGACCGAACCGAAAGTTTGTTTTTCGAAGTTTCCCCACAAATACACTCCGAATCTCCCAAAAGGCTCACCTTTCGGAATCAGCGTAATCATCCATTGTCTCGAGACACCGATACTTAAAATATCGCGCTTTCAGGTTCCCTCATTCTTCTCGATCAATGGAGTCGGGCAATCCAATTACTTCGGGCTGATTCTTGACTCGACTTTCACTACCTACCGGATGTTTCGATGTTTCATCGAGGACGTTCAGTCTGATTGTTTTTAAAATCTGTTGAATCTGGTCAGCATTCAAAAGAGTGTATATTACACAATTCTACAGTTCTGTTCCAAAGAGAAAACATGATTTTTTTATAATTCAGTGTTCGTATTTGAAAGTTATGTACAATAAATATGATGTACAGGCTGCTTACAAGATGGTGAATGACATAGTGGAGGGTCTTGATCAGTGCAAGCACACTTCCTTACTTTATATGACTTGACCAAAGCATTTGATTGTGTATCACATGCGATACTCATTGAAAAATTGATTCATTATGGTTTGACAGGTACCATTTTGGGTCTCCTCAGCTCCTATCTCGAAAACAGGTATCAGTGTGTTGATCTTAATAATATCAAATCCAACATCAAACCGATACAACATGGAGTACCCCAAAGTTCAGTACTTGTGAAATCGGATAACTTGCAAATCGATTTGATTCGTACTGTTGACGAGAACAAAAACTTAGGCAAGAGCTGGTTCACAAAGAATAGAGTCAAATTGAATGAAAGTGAAACACATAACTTTATTGTCTCCTCAAATCCACTCAATCAGAAAAGACAAAATATATCATTTCTTGGTATAATCATCGACGATCTGTTAAACTGGTCCAGCCACGTATATTATGTACTTCGTAAGCTCCCTACAGTTTCATTTGTTTTAAGGCAACTCAAACCAGTAACCAATCTAAACGTATTGAAACTATCTTACTTCTCTTCATTTCATTCTATACCATCTTATGGTATTTTACTTGGGGCAACTCAAGTAATGGAATAATGGTATTTCGATATGAAAAAAGCCATTCATGTCTTAGCAAATGTAGAATACATAGATCACTGTCATCAACACTTCATTCAGCTTAGTATCATGCCGGTGCCTTCACTATACATATACATCGTTTTGTTAGAGATACATAAAAACGTAAACAATATTAAGAAACCCTTCGATATACATCAGTATAACATAAGATCTGCAGATATGTTAAATCCTCAACGGCACAGACTAATGCCGTTGCGGATTTAACACCAACAGGTTTTTTACCAAAATCTATTGGCTATTTCCACTCAAATACCAATTAAATCCTCATTTATAAGCTGTGAAATTTTTTGACACTGCAAAACCTCTTTTCATTGGTTGACGTCACAAGTCTGGCCATGATGTGCATTTTGATAAATGACTTTTTGACGTAATACGATAGTTTTCTACATTACGGCTCCACATCAAGGAAGGAGAAGGCGGAATGCCTTGAACTACTGCTTGAACTTTTATGAAATTTGCGTTTAGATGATTTAGGAATATGTAAAGTTACATTGCTATTGTTCAACATTTCTATGCTCAATTTGTGTATCAAATCTGAAAATGTCCAAAGAATACAGTACTATCATCTTCTCAACAATCCCCTACAAAAATTGTGACAATACAATAATTGTATACATTATTTTTCTAGTAAATTTCTTCACGATAACACAAAACTAGAACTTACTTCTCAGCACATATAGAATGATAACATGACAGTGTTGTCAAGCTGATTAGAAATACAACTCACAGAAATTTCCGTGTGACCACTACAAATTTACACTCCCTTTGAAATTCAAATGTATTGAAAAGTACACACAAGTATTCATATTAGGCAACATGCCAACTCAAACAGCCTTTCTGACGTCACAGGTTGTGTTTGGCGCGTGTTTGAATTCATATAGTTTCTGTCTAATTTGCAAACGCGATATGAAGGATTATTTTTGTCCATAAAAATATCTGTATTTGGTCTATTCTTGAAGATAACGTACGACCTTTTTTCTGTTTTTGCTTTAAATATTTTTTCATATTTTTTTGGTTATGTAGGGAAGCAGGAAATTATGAAAGGTACACACTTTTGAATGAAAACTGATTGACAAAATTCATCTAAAACACTGTATTTTTCTCACAAGCACTCTATCATTGCCTTGATTAGTCTTATTCCTTGAGTAATAATATTTCAATTCCATTCTGAATCTCTATAAAATTCTCGTTTTCCAAAAGAACACTTTCCAGGTACCTTTCTCGAGGAATTCAAAAGACAAAAAAGAAATTCATGCATTAAGCTTCCAGCGACGAGGGGAGTGGATGTATCGCGACTGTTCCCAACGTTGCAGGAGCGGAGACTTCATTTTATACACTTTTTGTCGTTTATTGTGTTGTGTAAATGTCATCCGAAGTATGTGCATCACAATCTTATACATTCATTGTTGTCCTCCGTGATACGATGAATATCGTTCGCGTGCATTTGAAAAAGGCATCTAAGATATCACTTCGTGCGATACATTCTTAATGCCACAGGAGGGGTGATGATCGGGTTATCAAAGACTGGCAAGTTGCTCCAGATAGCAGAGCCACAATCAAATAAGCAAGCAAGTAACATTTTGAACTGAATAACTAGATAACTGAACTGAATAACTAGATAATTTACTTATCTGTATGAAATCACATTGCATTGAAAAAATATAGAGAATCTGTATATTATTCTTGATTCTAAACTGAATTTGAAATGAAATGATTATAAATACCTCAGGATTATTTCAACAAAATTCAGGCAGCTGAGAAATTTGTTTACTATCACGATGAAAGTATATCTTGCTGTAATATTTGTAATATTCTTCAATATATATTTTGCTGACTTAACTTCGACCTCCTGTTACGTTTAATACTACGTAAATAAGTGGCACACTTAATAATTAACGGTTACAACAGTTATTCTTCAGAAACACTTGACCAATAGACCAATACACTTTCACCATCCAAGACATCATATCACTATCGATGTCTACAACTAAAACGAAATATCTGTGCGCATCCACCATAATTTATTCTTTAACAGAAACAACTAGAATTTATTCAGGATCGTTCGCCATTTTTCTTGTATTTTCTGTGATCAAAAGTTCTTGACAATGTTTTTCGCTGAATTGGGGTGTTTTTTCATTATTTAAAAATTTCAATGATTTGACATCGACTTTCTTCACTACGTTTCGATTGTTAGTATCCACAATCATCTTTTAGTGATGGTTCCTGACGACTATTGAACACTCTTTCGTTTCGAACCGCGTCATTCACAGTTCACCACTCTGCAACGCATTTCCCCACTTAAGTGATACTTTCCACACTTTTTGAATATTTATGATCTTCTCGTTAAATTCGCCAATGTTCAATATTTGAGCAGCTTCTTTGCACTTCCTTCTGAACCAATTTCAGATTCGGGCCACTTGGTGGTTTCTGCTTCAAGGATATTCTAATACTCAGGAAATGTAACATCCGACATCAATTTGTTACCATGACCTACAGGTAGTTCTTGAAGTCATTGTTAGCGTTTGGTGGCTTGGTTTTTGCGAAGCTACCTCAAGTTGAAGATATTTCTAATCCCAATTATTCTTATCCGATCTCTTGACGCCAGTAAACCTGTACACCAACGTTTCTGTCAAAGAAACACTTCGAAGATGATCTTGAAGGAAGTTATTCTTGGATTTTTGGCTGTTTGGATGCCTTTGACTTGTCCATTTCTTTCAACTGTATCTGCATATACCTATTTTTTCTCCTAACCATCTTTTATGACACCCACTTATGACATTTCGTGACTGATTCATCTTGAATACTCATTGTATCATTTCAAACTTTTTTTACAATTTATTCAATGT